GACGGGACGATCGATCTTTGGCCTCTCTCTAATTAATGTTCTTCTAATGTCAAAACTGGCATGTTTATATATTTTTCTGACGCTCACGGCCCATAAACTAGACGTCTTCTTTGACGATGGATAACTATTGTTCATTAGAAAACTGGCGTGTCAAGCGGAGTGGATCCTTTGAGGATGAAGGTGTCCCCTTGTTTGGACAACTAAAAATCATCTGGTGAATCTCGCCAATTCCTAGAAGCCATCTCATAATTTTCATTGGGCATGGCGTGTCGATGACATCCTAGCTCGTAAACTAGTCATCTTCCTGACAATGGATAACTATTGTTCATCAGAAAAACCGGTGTGTCGGGCGGGGTGGACTTTTTGAAGATGGAGATGTCCCCTTGTTTGGACAACTAAAAATCATCCGGTGGATAGTCCCGATTCCTGGAACCCATCTCATAACTTTCGTTGGGTATGGGGTGCGGATGACGTCACGGTTCAAGCCAACCCCCTGTAACCAATGGGGGGAGATATTCGCACCAGATGTACCCCCTTATTGGTCTGTTTCTTCTTTTGTCGATATCGACAAACCAATGGTTGAGGCAGTCCATTTCTGAATTGCCGACATCTTATTTCTTTGAGTCTATTCTCATCCATGTTTACCATTGGAGGGTTTTTTATATTGGTGCCCCCATGTTCAATTGAGAGAAGAAAAGAAGTCAAAAGGATCTCTTTAGTTATGCCTTTGAGCAATTTGTATGGCCTCCTCTAAGTGTTTTGTGATTTCCAGGTGTTCTCCTTTGATGGTCATTCCTTGACCCTTCGGAGGCCCGCATGATGATGACTGCTTGAGTGTTCCCCCCCAAGGGGGTCTCCTTTCATCGCGTTGACCTCGCATAATCGATGTTTTGACTGGGTTTTCCAACACTCCTCACCATTGTGCAGGGTTTTTCCGAGTCCCTTTGTATTATTTATAACTTAGTGTTGTACCAGGTTTTTATATTTATTAAATAGAAATTTTAACCGTAGTAAACAGCGGTGTCCGCAACAAGGAGCTAACATATTTTTGGAGTTTTCTGGAATCCACTATGAAGAGCAAACGCCGAGAGATCGCCCCCTCCCTTCTGCCGTTCATTTCTACCATAGTGCGTCAGGAGAACACACCATCAACATTTACCCTCCTCTTTCGTCCACTTTTTCCGCTTCCACCCCTGGTTTTTGTCTTGCATTTTGTAACATGTTTTCCCCTCAGTGTTCCGTAAGTCCGGGGAAATGGTTACCTTCGCCGTTCGATAGCATCCGCGTAATAGCAAACTGGAGAGCCGCCTAGTTGTTAAGGATACAACTAGGAAAGACCGAAAAAGTCAGTAGAGGTGGGAGTTAGCACCACTACAGATAGTTCCGAAAACATGTGCGGATGATAGGACAGAATGGTGTGGCTGTATAGCCAACCGTACCACATTACCTATGGCCATCGTGTGCAGCCCTAGTCATTCCGAATTGTGTTCTTAACAACTAGGTGGTAACTTTTTCAGATTTCTTGAAACTCATTGTCTGTCCTGTCGCAAGGACGGGCGAACCCCCCGTTCTTTACTCTCGTCCGTCTATGGTATCTGCAACTTTTGGGGAGGTGTTAGCCTGCACATGACTGTATTTTGGATGCGACTGTGAATGGAGCCACACACCACCAATAACACTGGCAGTGACGCAGTTATGGACACACGTCGCTGATTGGTGATCAGCAAAAGATTTGCTACTTATTAACTGTGTGAGAGAGTTATCACGGCGAGGGTAGCAGTCAACGCAGTGATCATTTCTGAAATTATGTAATTTCGAGTGTTCGAGGTCACCAAGATTTATCGATCTTTCACGGTATTATTTCGAGTCATTGAATTACTTTGACACTTTTATGTAAAGCTTTTTTGATGGAAACTGTTGACTGTTTCCGACTACTAACAATTGAGTTTCGTGACTCAGCTTTTTCTTATCATTTATCATTGCCGTTTAATAATAACAACTCGAATTTCGTGACTCTCTTATTTGATGCTTGATTAATTTGACTTCTAATTATTTATTTATTTATTTTAAAAACTACTAGACTTCAGAAAAATAGTTGTCATAACTTACTTACGTGACAATTAATTCATATAAAATTATATTGTGTTCAGCAACGCTTGATTGATTAACGGGATTTTAATGATCATTTTTATTTGTATCGAGACTTAATGATTAATTAAAAATTGTCCTTCCTGACAATTTCAGAGTTTAATCATTCCTTTATTTTATCTACCACAGCTGCATCCCCTTTTAGCCTCCGATTAATTAAGTCTCTCCGTTTCGGGCTGCTAGAACTGTAGAGGTTGAACGTGGAGAAGGATTTTTGAAACCGTCATTCCGTCAAACGACCTGGCGCCTGACTTAAGGATTTTCAATTATTTTATTTGGGGTGTTTTGGTGCCAGAGGGCAGTCGAATGGACGCAGGGTTCTGTCAACATCCTAAAATTACGTCGTAGTAGCAAAATATGTGATCCGTGACACCGCCACGGTTGACATACGAACAGCTGTGATGTTGGGGAAATACCGTTCTGTTCTCAGAATCAATATTGAATTCTTTCTGTGTATGTCAAAAAATTCAAACTAATTTAAAGTGCACCATACATTCACCGGGAAAGTGGGTTGACACCAACTAATGGACATGTTATGTACATCTCCAACCCGTTCTAACACTATTAATTGGACTCAAATATACAATGTACGGACATTAGGTTTTTTTTAATGCGTGAACAACTGCCGCGTGTAACTCGTGATTCAGAAAGTTGTAATCTTATGCCACGTCTATACTCAGTTCTCGTGCACTACATCTATACTATTCTTTACTTTTTTTGTTTCTTGATCTTCTTGTAGCATTCATGTTTGGGATTATTTCCATTTATTTTTCGACACCTGCAATCCCGAGAATTTTGGATTTGCTGCAACCAATGAATGAGTCTCGTCCACGAATATTCCTTTATCAAACTGAATTTTTCATTGACCAAGACAAATATTATATACAACTACTGATTCACTCCTGTGTGGCGGTGACTATTGGTGTAGGCTACATAGTTTTCTTTGATAATCTATTTGCAACTCTCATCAATCATGCGTGTGGAATGTTTGAAATTCTCAAGTAAGATCATTCGAGCTCAATTACTCAGAACCTGTAATTGTACATTTACTGTTTTACAGATTCCACCTCGAAACATTGTCGATGGAGTGTCCACAAAATCAGGAAGAGGCAGTCACGAATTCTAAAATAATCATGGAGAAATTCAGGAGATTTTCTGACTTGCAAACTCAAATTCTCAAGTGAGTGGCGTTGAGGACGATACATACAATTCAGTTACTAATCACTCTACGACAGGTTTGTGAAGAATCTGGAAGCATCGTATAATATTGCTCTGTTAGTTATCGTCGGAGTGAATATTTTGACAATTGTACTCACTGGAATCACAGTGAGTAGCCGCGATTATCAAGCCGAATGGTACCCATTGGTTTATAAGTGACCTGAATATCTCATTCCAGGCTATAATAAAAAAATCTCAGCCAAGTGAGATGATTAGGATGGTATTCACCAGCGCAGGCGGCGTCTGCCATCTTTTTTGGATTAGCTGGTTAGGGCATGCTTTGGAAGTTCAAAGCGAGAAGATCTTCATAGCAGCGTTAGAATGAATACAAATTCCTCATTTGGATCGTTTTTTCATTTAATAACACCAACATATTCACAATTATCACAGCTAAAGATTTTTTCATTGCAATTTTCAGCTATCAAGGTCGATGGTACTACCTGCCTCATCAAATGCAATTAATGTTGTTACCGATTATGATGAGAAGCTTGATACCGTGTCATTTGACAGCAGGAAAATTTTACATAATGTGCATGGAAAGTTTTGGACGGGTATGAAACGAATTAAAATGTTAACTTAAAAAATTGCATTATGATGAGAATAAATAACGTGAGTTTTCAGGCCGTGAAAATGATGATGTCTTCGTTCATGGTTTTGATTTCCCTGCGATGAAGAATGTTCATTGAACATGAAAATGTGTATTATGTAATTAATATTTGAATAATTAGATGGATTCTATGGATAGTATTCGTAATTAAAGATCAATCCCAATTCCATGAAGAGTGTTTATTTATCTATGATCTCGTTGAATATCACTATTTTAAATTTGGACATATTCCTCTGTTCCGCAGTTAGAGATGAGGTTTATAATTATAGGCTTGATTCCGCAGGAATCCCTTAGGAATGTGTGTGAGTGCGTAGGGCATCACGAGAAAATCATATTGTTCTCTTTTTTCATTTTTTTTGGGAAACTGTCGAGCCCAAACAATTTCGAGAATTTTAGGAGCTTTACAGTTAGGGAGTTCGCAAGCCATTAAGTGCCGAGAAGCCACTCACAGGGGAGTTCGGGGATAGGTTTAGGTAACTTTTAGGTTTAGGGTGGAAGGACAGGCGAACAATCACAAGCATTGCCTCGGGGGGATTACCAGGATCGTGGAGTGAGGGACCAAAACTACGTTGGGGTTTTAAGAAATTTAGGGTGCAGTTAAAGCTCTACCTCTGATCCCGGGAATACCCGTGACATAACAATAATCGCGGGTAATGCATCATTTTTGGCCTCAGCCATCGCAAAGTTAATTGTTTAATTCAAATTATTTCAGTCGCGCAAGCATAAAATTAGTGTTGCGTAATCGTAGCACACGTGGCGCTGGGTCGGTGTCAGGGTGTAATAGACTACACTGAGAGAAAAATTTGTTTTTGCCAAATACAGCGTATTTGATGAGTAGCGTATTCTTACCTCAAGAAATTTTCTTGGTAGAAGAAAGTTTTGATACTGGGAGAATAGGAGGATTGAGTGACAATATACATTAACTTTCGTTAATATTAGGAACAAATTTGATATTTTGCGTATTGGACATACTTTCCATTAGTGGCCCTTATTTATCACAAGTAAACCAGCTATAGGGCGAAAAATTTGTATTCTAGATAATATTATAATACTTCATACTACGTGAATATTTATTTCAGACTCACATTGTTGTCAAACCGAATTTTGACGTAATTAGTGGATAGTTCACCTGATTTTTCGATGAAAAGTATGCTACTAACAGAATTATCGGTATGTTTCAGTTGACTATAGTTGAGACTAAAAATCAGTGTATCTTCCAGATGAAAGGAATTTTTCAGTGAAGATTTTTAATTTGTGGAATGGAGAACTCAGTTTTAGGAAGGTAAGATTCTTGAGCGGATATTATAATGTTTTACCTCAAATAACTGTCTCTTACAATTGAAATTATTCTCTGTTACCATGACAAGAACTTCATGGGACTTAATCATTTCGTCACTTCAATATGAAATGTTTAAAGGAGAATAATTTTGTACAAATTAAGCTATATACTTTCGAAGGTACACTGAAGAAAATATTCATTTTCATCAAGTGACCATTTACTCGAGAGAAAAGATTCATTTTTTTTCTATAGCATAATTTGTCATCTCTATTACATGCGTTTTACGTGATAAATCTTGAATATTCCAATCCGATTGTACTTATCATGATGAAATTTTGTGACGTATTTTCGTTTCCTCGTGGAAAGGAAAAGAAATACGAAGCCGTCTGTAATCGAACTAATTAAATCTAAGTCAGACGCCAGTAGATTTTCTCATCAAAATGGACAAAAACCATTCAAATAAAATAACGACAGGAACAGTAACCGGCAGCTCAGTATCAACCGCGGAGGCGGCTGGGTTCAATAATCCTGCTCCCAAAGATAACTCTGAAATAATTGGGTTTTTCAAAAATAAAAAAAAATATATCACCAGAATTATTTAATAACAAAAGACTATTTATTCGTCCTTCACTTCGATTGAGACGATAATCTCGATAAACCAATTAATAATTTTTTGATAAACCTTTCTATAAATTTTAATCTACAGATTTCAACGTCGAAGACTCGATATAAATAAAAATTTTTAATCACTAATCCCTAATCATCAAACTAATAAAACAAAGCCAAGATGCAAGGTAACATTCGTCAAGAATTGTAAAAAAAACTATTATTCAATAAAAATAAAAAAAATATTTAAATAAATTAAATCAATATTCAATTCTCAAATGAAATGTACAATATTAATTTAAAGAGATAATGAACTCAATACCCTAAATAAAATGAAATCTGAGATAAAGGAATTCAATCCATATTCCCAAGGGTAATAAACAAGTGGCAATACGTTCCACAATGAAAATACGATAAACTGAAATTATTTTAAGTCACTAAATTACAGGTAAAATCCGTTGACCTTGTAAGTCACCTCTTAAATGAAAATAAATTACGCAAGCATCGCTAATGATGCTATAATTCCAATTTTCGTTAGATTCACAAAATATCTAAATAAAATAGCCTTACAATTTGAACAAGAGTCGATAACAACAAAATTTGTCGGACTATATCGCTAGAAAATTACACACAACTTTCCCCAGCAATGGCAAAACCCCCTGGAGAAATTGACCATAAGAGAATGGACGCCAAGCGTCTTAATGAAATCCAAAATTCTAACAATTAATAAATTAACCACAAATACTTTTCGGAAATGTTCAATCGCTTACCGATATCCAATCAATTTATTAGGGCGTTAGAATTTCCAAGAAATGAGATCGTCCTCGAAATACTAATTGGACCTCTCCAAAATCAATTCTTTTTCTCCGCGATATATTTAACTGAACTCACAAATAACGATACTGCTTTACGTGATGTCCAAACGATGAGTGAGTCGATAGAACCATGCCAAGTCGAGCGTCGTCATAAATAACGTTACCAATCATTAGATTGGCTAACTATGGGCGATAATCGATTTATTGATTGGCCCTCTATCGAAATCTGATTACACTTATTAATGTTTTACTGCCCAAATATTATCTCATTCGGGTATCGGTAAAACAGCATACTTCATTTACAATATTAATTCGGCAATGACAAACACACATTGCCTGAATTAATCCATTGCATTCCGAGTTCATTAACTCATTAACAATTTTCTCATCCGGATTTTCCAAAACTCCGCAGCCCATTCCTCCAATTTTATGGTCCATCCGGTTGGCGACATCTGTCGTCCCTATTAATCACCAAGACTCAGCGTGGAGACAGGACATCATTCAAATTATGTTTTTGCTTTTTCCAAATTCGTTGGAACAGCCAAAAATCCGTTAATGTAGTTCCTTGTTGTCTTCTGAAGTCCCGCGATGAAATTGTTCATCGGTAAGCGATCAAATTGACTCAACACAATAACAAAATAAAATAAAACAGAATTAATAAAATGCCAAAACATCACAGTTTCGACTCTTGTTCACGGTGACTACTCGTCTGGACATCAAAATGACCATCGAACGGTCGAAAATCAAATAATATGTTACAATTTTTATGATTAAAGAAGTAATTGTTTTTTCGGAAATGAATATAATTTTCTACAAAACGTGAACTTGTTGGGAAAGCAACAAGGTTTCGTGGTTTTCTGATTCTATCCTCAAGTTGAGAGAGTTTCATATCAATGATTTACTTATTTGCGAAAGTTGAATGTTTTCTGACATAGTGCAATAATCTTTCCCCGTCATCAATAATATATTTATAATTAGTCGCCCTTGCTTCCCATAGGCTATTTTAATGTAGGATTTGTCGTTGTTATTCGGGAGAAACAAATCACTATCAAGCGGATAAACAATAACAATTTATTCGCCGAAGCGTTAGATTGATACATACAAGTTATAGATAATAATTAAGTAAGAAAAGTGTGGTTAGATACGGGACTGATAAAGCACAAATCGTGACTGCTCTATTGTCCAGAGGTGGGTTCCGAATTCTTCTGGGTTCGCGATATTAAGTTTGTGTGTGTATGTGTGTGTGTATGTTTTTTTCTTTTTTTTTTTTTTTCTAAGAGGTTTCGGGTAATGTTCAAAAGATTCTGGAAAGTGATGTTAAACCAGATCTCAGATTTTTACTGAGTAAACCCCCGTTTTCCTCTTTTCTCTTACCCCGTACTCCCTGTGGAACCGCCGTTAGGCATTACTTCACAGGGGGGTCGTACTAGCAGTAGCTCCCCCTCAACTCCTTGCTGGACCGTTCGTTCTTCTTCCTCACTTGGATGTTGGCGTGAGTAGGAGGTTCCAGCTGCTTCCTCTTTCAGTCAGCGTTCTTACGACGGCGCTCTTCCTCTCGCAGTTCCTTCAAGAACTGAGCCGCGAAGTCGCTTGTGGTGTCCCAGGCGGTCTTCGATGCCACCATTACATCCATCAGATTCTCGGGTAAGATCTTGCCACCAAGTACAGATTCCCACTCAGAACGGTTCGTGCTGAATCTTGGACATGCAAAAAACACATGTTCAGCGTCCTGAATAGTATGCATGCATAGTGGGCATTCGGGAGAATCTTCATGCTTAAACTTATGGAGATACGCCCGAAAGCACCCATGTCCTGTCAGCATCTGGGTTACATAGTAATTGACTTCACCGTAATTTCGATTCAGCCATACACCTATCTTAGGTATGAGACGGTAGGTCCATCGCCCTTTACCTGAGGTGTCCCACTTCTGCTGCCATCGGTTGATGCTTTTACATCTCTCGTCCGTTACAAGCTGTGCTGTGCTGATGTCCTCCGTACGCTTTCGACGATATAAAGATCTTCGTTCTTCGGCCAACTCCTCTATGGGCAGCATACCGGCGATGACACACAATGCGTCCTCAGACAGGGCGCTCAGCCGGTAGACCGAAGCCACCTTTTGCCTTAATTGCTGCATCTGCAGTGCGTCAGCCCAAACATAGATGCCGTATGTCAGGACTGACGTAATGACGGACGTCAGCAACGCTCGCCTCCTCTGCTTGGGGCCTCCTACATTAGGCATCAGACGTGAGAGAGCTGCTCGGACAGCGGATGCCTTGATCGTCGTATGCTCAATCTGCTGTTTGAAGTTGAGCCGGGCGTCAATCATCACCCCCAAGTACCGAATGTACGGTTGAGATGTGACTTCATAATTTCCGACTCGCAGCGTGATTGTCT